ATTTAACAGGACCGTTAGAGGAACGCTAACGCGAGCAAAATGTGTTCACCTTTTGCCAAACCATAGAAGATTTGGTGTCGAATAAGCCACCGATAAATTGGCATGGAATGACGAATATCGGAATTGTTTTTTGTTTTTGTGACGAAACGCGGTTCAACCTGATACACTCCGATAGTAGAGTGTTAGTATGGAGGCAACCTGCGGAGCAATTTGAAGAAGACAACATGGCTTCTCAGGAAACCTTTGGAGGAGGAGGGTTTAATGTTTGGGCCGGAGTGATGTACAACGATAGATCCGACTTATACATTTCACGGGGTACTGTTAACGCCGTAATTTATCGGAATCACATAATAAATGACATTGTTATTCCATATGCAGAAAATATTGAGGAGCATTTCTTCATGGTTGACCATAATGCGAGACCACACAAAGCAAGAATTGTTTAGGATTTTTTGGGGGGGCATAACATGCAACAGTTACACCTGCCTGCAAAATCTCCTGATCTTGTGTGGTATCAGCTTAAGTTACTGGTACGATCGCGCGAAAATGCTCCCAAACGCTGGATGAGTTCGCACTTGCCATAGAAGAAGAGTGGCATTCTCTGGCAATATCCCTCAGGTATTCATTAATCTCTTGGTTGACAACATGCCACGGCCGGCGATGCCAAGAGGTTGTGAATGTGAGGAGAGGGCTTACTAACTATAACTTTGATTATCTGCCGTTCTTTATTAATTTTTTTAGTTTACGTTGTTTATTACTTAACTTTTAGGTCACTTTGTTGTTGTTATTGAATTTTAGTTTGATTAGTTTTTTAGTTTACTTATTTTGATACGTTTTACCTAGGTATCTACCTAACTAAACTGAAAGTACTTCTTAACGCATTTAAAGTAGGGGAATTTCAGATGTTACCGGTTGACAACGGCGCGCGACGTTGTATGATTTGAATAAACATTTTCAAATAAATAACACGTGTCGATTTATTTTGTTATTTCTAGCTGTCAGTGGTCTTGATAATTTATTATTACATTCTGGTAAATTATAAGGAAAAAAAAAGGCATTGATAACATTGTCAGTCCTTGTTCTACGACGTTATCTTAAATATAACGTAAAAAACCTATAGGAACACTTTTTGTGTTTTGTTTTAAATCAACTTAAAGAAGCATTAACGTTGTTCATATAATATTTTGTTTGGCAGATAATGTAATTTACCATCCTTAATTTTATTTTTTGATACTGATGCGATTAGTGGAAGAATTTTTAATTGAAATACCTTTAAACATGAAGCTACAAAGAAAATTAGCAGGTAATAAAAGTTCGGGTTTCCTCTCACCACAACGAAATCGGTTCCGAATATTTAAATTTTATCAGTGGTATAAATAATTATTAGCACGCCACTGTACAGCATATCATTGAGGTATTCGAAATTTTTAATCATGAAAATAAGCTAATCGAAAGATATAACAATTGCTAATAAAATTGATTTAATGAAAAATAATAATTTCTGTTTGCACGCATATCATTGAGGTATTCGACATTGAGGTATTCGATATTTTTAATCACAGTAAATACGCTGGCTGAAAGGTATGACAATTGCTAAAAAAATTCACCGGTAAGAACGATTCGGTTTAGAACGGAAAAGTTGAGAAAATTAATATGGTTATGTTAAATAACCGATATTTTAAAAACAAAGGCAAATATCAAAATTTTGAGAAATTGGTTTCTTAATAATATGTCAATGATTAAAGTGAACTTAACAAATGAAACTTCAAATGATTATTTTTTAAATTATGCACCTTTGAATGTAAAATTCGGTGAGCCATTAATAAATAATTCCGAAAATGGGCGATTATTAGTACGCTACTGGACACCACATTATTTTAGTATTTTTTTTTCATTGAAAATAAACCAGGATATCGTGGGGTATATCAAACAGCAGCATAAGATGTAAGATTTATTGTACAGGATGGTTCAGGTGCTTAAAAATTGAAAAAAGTGGAGGTTATGAAAAAAAATCGATATTTTTAAAACTAAGGCAGGTATAAAAAATTTGAGAAATTTTTTTTTTTTGCAGAAGATTATTGATTAAAACGCCGCATAGAAATAAAATTGAAAAAATTATCTGAGAAAGTTACATTAGTGGAAGAATTTTTAATTGAAATACCTTTAAACATGAAGCTCAAAGAAAATTAGCAGGCGGGTAATAAAAATTCGGGTTTCCTCTCACCACAACGAAATCGGTTCCAAATATTTAAATTTTATCAGTGGTATAAATAATTATTAGCACGCCACTGTATAGCATATCATTGAGGTATTCGATATTTTTAATCATAGTAAATATGCTGGCTGAAAGGTATAACAATTGCTAAAAAATTCACCGGTAAGAACGATTCAGGATGGTTTAGAACGGAAAAATTGAAAAAATTAATATGGTTATGTTAAATAAACGATATTTTAAAACCAAAGGCAAATATCAAAATTTTGAGAAAATGGTTTATTAATATGTCAATGAATAAAGTGAACTAAACAAATGAAACTTCAAATGATTATTTTTAAAATTATGCACCTTTGAATGTAAAATTCGGTGAGCCATTAATAAATAATTCCGAAAATGGGCGATTATTAGTACTCTACTGGACATCGCATTATTTTAGTATTTTTTTTTTCATTGAAAATAAACCAGGATATCGTGGGGTATATCAAACAGCAGCATAAGATGCAAGATTTATTGTACAGGATGGTTCAGGTGCTTAAAAATTGAAAAAAGTGGAGGTTATGAAAAAAAATCGATATTTTTAAAACTAAGGCAGATAAAAAATTTGAGAAATTACTTTTTTTGCAGAAGATTATTGATTAAAACGCCGCATAGAAATAAAATTGAAAAAATTATCTGAGAAAATTACACACATTCAAAATTGGGATGAAAATCATGGACTCTTTTAACACCCTGTATAAAAAAAAAGAAGACATTTAAAAAATTTTCAAAATAGCAATTTTTTTCACAAAAAGTCAATCTGTCGGCCCGTGAAAACTGCAGGTCGATATCTAGTCTGGTTCCAAAAATATCGAGCTTGAAAGTTAGGCGATATTTACCGTGTTCGAAAGCAATTGTCCAGCAGTTTATTTCAATTTCATGACAATCGTGAAATTTTTTTTTTCTCATAAGATCCGTGCGTGGTCCTTTCATTTTGAGAATCCCACCATTAAGGGCTCGTAAATACTCCTACAACGAATTTTTTTTTTTTTGTGTGTGGAGCCTGCGTTTGTACCTCAAATTTAAGGGTGGGGTTGAGCAGCCCTATCGAGCCTCCATCTACCCTATAAATTTCATATTGAAAATACCACCAATAAGGGTAATATGGCGTCACCTCCTAAATAGTCCTAAAAACTATTTTTTTTTCATGGCCTGCCTTTGTACCTCAAATTTGAGGATGGAGTTAAGTAGCCCTATCAACCCTCCATCTAAGTACCCTATGAATTTCATATTAAGTAAAAACACCAATAATAGTTAAATATAGCATACCCAATCCATTACAAAAAAAAAAAAAAATTTGCTAGCAATTATCAAGCAAAAAAATATGCAATTATTGTATTTTACTTGAAACCAAGACAATTCTATCAGGATGATCTAAAATATGTATCGTGATAGTGGAGGCGCAACGAAAATGAAGCACTTTGTGAGTTACCCCACCTCACCCCTTAAGGGGTAGCTGCCCTAACTTATCTTTTTTAAATAAGAACCTACCTTGTGTTGCACATCGTTGGATAGCTCGTTGCTAGCCCTTTACAGTCCTATAGCAAAATCGTAAATCGGACAATTGTTTTTTTAGATATCGGTGTTTGAAAGTAAGCACACAAACTAATAATTTTGACTACATATGTCTTAGACAAAACAATTCTGTCATAAAAATCCCGAATACACATCGGCGAAATCAAATAGTAATGTTTTTATCATAATTCTGTCTGCTTATGCAGGCCTCTAAAGGAGAATGAAAAAGTTTTCAAAGGAGATATCGAACGGGGCAGGTTCTCATTTTAGAAAAATTAATAGGGGCGGCTAGCCCCCAAGACAAGAGGGGTGGGGGTTAGTCAATAAACACATTTAGTTTCCCGGATGTGTATTTGAGACTTTTATGACAGAATTGTTTTGTCTAAGAGATACTCAAAATTACTAGTTTTCAAAATGTGTTACCTTTAAACACTGATATCTCAAAAATCGTTCGATTCAAGATTTTGATACAGGACTGTAAAGCGATAGGAACGAGCTATCCAACGATGTACAAAACGAGGTAGGTTTGTATTTAAAAAAATAAGTTAGGGTAGCTACTAATACTCTAAAAAGTGAGGCGGCGTAACTCAAAAAGTGCCTCATTTTGGTTCCCTCTCCAATCCCCCGATACGTATTTAAGATCTTCCTGATAGTATTTTTTATCTAAGAGATATTCCCGATTGCTACTTTTCAAATTGTCACAAACAGATAAAAATAACAAAAAATTTTAAATCTTATTTGTACTAAAAATATTCATCTTTATAGATAACAAATAAAAACTACAAAAAATTTTGAATCTTCTGTATAACCGTCAGGAATATATTCTACTACCGATTGCCAAGGAACATTGTTAATACCGCTTTTAAAAAAGATTGCCAGGAGTCATAAGAGGTTCATACACATGATAAAGTTGTTTTAATTTCTGGACAATCAATTCTGCTTGAGCTTGTTTGGCAGTCTCAGTGAAAAATCAGTTTATAGCGCTGTGAAATGACATTACCAATACATGGTAGATAGTACGATCTGCAATTGGGAATATTGAATCGCATAAACTTACTTTTTACAGATACTTCCAGGGTTTTTTTACTAGGTGCAAGCTATTTTGGTATGTCCGAAGATCCATCTACCAGTGTTATCTAAATAATGACGAAAAAAATATCTCCTCGCTTTGTAATTTGTTTCTTCAATTAATTAAAACGGATGTTTATTACTAATTATTTTTTATTACTTTTAGAGGATATCATTAGAAGAAGGCTAATGTTTGATGGCGACGGAACAGGGGAAGATCGTAGGCTAAATGACTTTCTTAAAAATATATCAAAGTGGTTAAGAACAGACCACAAGACTGAAGAAGATGGTCTTATAATGTTTGACTCAATAACAGCACAATTGGAATTTGTCAAGCATTCAAGGCGGTTGGCTCATTTAAGACGCAGACAGATAAACAAAGAACTACAAATGTATGCAAATTTGTATGATGCCATGCAATCTCGGATAAATGAAAGAAAAGATGAAATTGAAACCCAGAAAATAAGTTTGAAAAATTCGAAAATTATAAAACACAACCAGATGCAATACAGTATGTTAACCAAATCCATGAACCAAGAAACACCTCGCACGGAGAGTCTAAAATATTTAGACTGTCTACACAGTGACATAAAAGACATTGAAGCTCAAAAAGAAGAGGTCGAGGAGGGCCTTAATGATCGTAGAAAGTTGTTTAAGGTTCTGTCATTGGCTGCAAACAATTTACAGGAATTGCTGTCCAAGGAGGAAACAGATGGAGGCGGTAGAGTTACACAAAAGAGAAAGTAAGTATATACTATCTAATTTAAAATAAATCTAGAATAATTGTTGATGATCGTTTGTTCCTGTTCGAATGTTTTTTTTTTTCTGCCTAAAGGATCCCACACACTGGCGCGATATGGCGGTGGCAGTAGCGATATGTCCGCAGCCTCTCTTGCGTCACTTTACTATATCATTATCTTTTCTAATAGTCACAGTAAATGCCATAGTTTCTGTCTTTTGCTCCACAAATATATGAAATTGATTAATTGTTTTGTATAAGTATTTCTTTTTGACACTGATTGATCGGCTTTTGATGGTGTGTCGTTTCAGCTTTATAATATTATTACTTTTCAGGCACCATTTTCACATGTTTTTTCCATTTATCCTTGCCTTAAGTGAAGTGCCAATTAAACACTTCTTAGACTTGAACATTCATTTTATTCGAGATTAATTACAAAATTAGGACAGAGCGACAGAGCACATTTAAATCAACCTGACATATGACAGCAATAGCATTTCTATATAAATTATCGCCCGAACGTTCGAATCAAACTATAACACCAGTTCAATACATGTACTACACTATTGCATTTTATGTAATTGAATCATCTTGAGAATGTTTATTTGATGCTATTTTTTTTTTCAGATAAGGACAAAGGAGTATTTCCCTGACAGACAATGACGCTGATAATAAAAATGATAATAATAATTTATTGGTGTTTTACTTCACAAAATTTTCACATTGCTATTCAGTATTTGAATTTCTATTTCCATCTCTCTGAATAATAGTCTCATTTTTTATAAGGTACCTATCTTTGCTACCAAACACAATAATTACATCTCAAATCTTCACCTCCATTGAGAGTTTCTACAGGCGTTTTCACATTGCCACATTTGAAGGAGAGAAAAAAACAAATCAATCTTGCATACAATACATTTTATTCCAATTATGTTTGTAGATAGTTCCAGCTAGTCAATATAAATTTGATAACTAGGTACCCGTAGATGGGAAACACGAAATAATAAAGTTTTCATAAAATTTCTGTAGAAACAAAAAATATTTGCCCACAATATACTATAATGTACTTGGTTTACTTACTCTACAAGAACACCTAGGTACCTACTTAGCTAATCTTAAAAATTAAAAGTACATATAGATAAATTATCATTATAAACATTCATTTAACAATATTTTTTAAAATGGTTTATAATCTGTTGGATATTTTGATGGCAATACTCTCTCCAAATAATAAACAACATGTTTCCATTTCAATTCTGCACAGGTTTCAATAATCTTTTTTTCTATTTCCTCATTTGGTTTTTCTTCTTGCAATTTATATAGATATTTAAGCATTCTTCCATATTGCTGTTTCACAAAGGAGTGCCAAATTGCAAAATATAAAACGTGCGAAGTCAACACCTAACAAATAAGATTGTTTTATAACTTTTAAAAATAAATTTAGTTTATTACCTTTGCATCACTAGGATCAACAAATTTTACAAGTGATATCCAGGCACCGGCTATTTCTTGGATATCTGCATTGCCCTGCAATAAGCTCAAACGACATAATGCTATACCTTTCCTTGCTAAACATTCTAGGTATACATTCTTCTGTTGCTCCATTTGTCTACAAATGCATTAGGAAGTAATTAAAAAAAGCTTTTTGATTGATGAAGGTTTTGTATTCTTCAAAAAATGTTCCACTCCATAAGTGGAAAAGAATAGGTACCTACATAATTTGAAAATTGGAAATTCACTTACACTTTATATTTAGCGGCATCAGATCTCAAATCACTCTTTGTTGCCATATAAGCCAAAATGGTTTCCTCATTAACACTTTTTAGCACTTTATCACAGGTACTTATTACTTTGTTCAAGTCGTCTGCATTACCACAAATCTTGTTCCTAACAGCTGGTAGAACTCTTTTATCAAGAGGATCTATCAGTTGTAAATAGGAAGAATGTGCTGTTAAAACGTTTGGGTATGTTTTTATAAGATCTTCATATAATTTTTCACCTCCTTCCTTGTCTAAAATATAAATGTTTCTTATGATTATTTTACTTTCTCAATAAAATCAGATAATTCTTGCCTAATTTAGAAATCCAGATTGTTCCATGATCTCTCAAACTCTCAGTATATTCATCCATTTTTGATTTGTCTGGTGAAGAATTTGAACCATTTGAAGCTGTCTTTTTTGGACTACTGTTTTCAGATAAAAAGTATTTTATTGGATATGAATCAACCTTTTTGCCTACTTCATCTTTCGAGTAGGTTATTGTTCCAGATAAATAATGAGCTGTGTTGTTAGATTTAGGAGAGAACCTAGCAGAAAGTTTTGAATATTAAAATTAAATTACGTTGTCGAGTCAAAGTTCTTACTTATCTGATGCTAAAGGTGCAATGTATAATGGTACAACAGTGTGAGGGTTTGAATTGTGCATTACTCCAGCTTTTTTACCACCAATAAGTGCCTGAGAATATGATAGATACACATCCATTGTGATTGCACTAGCCAGTTTTTGCTGAAGCAATATAGGTGCTTCATTGATTTTTTCTAAATAGTCTTTTTTATCATGTCTGACTTGTAATCTTATCGAATATTCACCTTTTTCTAGCTTCACCATGTACTAAAACAATTAACAGTCAAATAACACCTTCTAAGTGTTTTACAGGTTTTACCTTTGATGGATATGCATCGCCTGTTCCCAAAATTTGTTTATTACAATCAAATAGTAGCCAAAGTTGCGATTCGTACTCAGATTCGTATAGCATATCACTCAAAAGGGCTAGATTTGGAGATACTTCGCATGGCTTTGTAATACTGAAGTTATACACTAAAACTAGTTCATAAATTTGACGATTAGGGGGTATCACGTCACGATTTGATAATGGAAATATCTTTGCGTCGATTGGTCTAAAATAAATGTTATTAATTTTATAATATAATTATTATGCCAGAAATAGATTTCAAACTCAAATTTATGCTTCAGAGAGGAGAAATCAGATTTTTTTGATAGAAATTGTCAACCTAATTAGCTCATTTTCTGTTTAGGCAGTTTCACAGACTTCACACCCAGAAAAAATATAAAATTATTTAGAAATACATTTTTTTTTTTGAATTGACACCTACGGTACATATGCAGTACCGAACTTTAGCTTTGGTTTTAGAAGCCCTGGGTAACAAAAAGAAAACAGATTTTTTTATCAAAGTTTTTTTTTTCTTCTTGGAGAAAGATTATGCTAACTTTTGCTATGCGAAAGTCCAACCCCCTCTCAGTGCTTTTTCAAGTTTGAAAAAAGAAATCCATTTCTAGACAATTTGTGGAGAAAATCTCACTTTAGAATTTGAACAGCATTTTTCAGAGTAATCGAAGGGGAAATTTCTTCCCCTTGTAAAGTCTTTACTTCCACAGAATGTATCCCATCAGCAGCATGCATATTAACAAAAGGCTGATTAGGTTTAACACCATAAAATGTTAAACTATAATCAAGTGTTGCGTCTCCAGTATTAGCCCAATACTTAGCAATTACAACTTCTACGACATTATCTTCTTTCAGTTGAAAACTAACTGATGTTTCAGTCTTCGAAGTTACAGCTATGTTTTTTACAGTTTCTAAAGCTTTACAGTGCTGCCTAGGTAATGATTGCATTGTATGGATAACAAAACGTCCACTATCTTCATTTGAGCTAAGCTTCAATGTTGCCCATGTAGCTGATTTTGGAACTACGAAATAATGCCTCTGTATCGTATTTGGTTTAAAAATAAGTCCCTTGAAGTCCAAATTTAGTTTTGATTCAGAAATTTCTCTTGGGTGAATTAAGGTTATGGGTATTTTAAATACTGGTCCTTTGGCTATGCAAGCTGTGTCAAATGCGCTTATGAAAGTTATGTCCATGAAGTCTTCTGGGATTGAAGTGAGATCTACATTTACAGCGAACATTCGTGCAACATTTGACAAATCTAAATGTTTTGGGAATTGTATATAGTCCTTTGAACAAGTTAGAACAAGTCTCATATTGAAATTTATTTTTTTTTCTGCTGGCACTTCATCTTCATTTAAAAAACGCGGCTCAACACTTACTTTAAATGTATGCTTAAGCGTGTTTAATTTGGTTCTCAAATAAATTCCTTTTGCATTAGAAGATCCGCACTGCAGTTGAAATCTTACATTCCTTTCCGGAATGTCATTGAAGGTAACCAAATAATCGAAGGCTTTATCTATCTGTATCAAGCCCGCCCCTTGCGATGCAACATCAACTCCTCCTATACAACTAGCAGTATTTTCTAGAGCTTTCCTTACTAAATAGGGTGAAGATCCTAAACCCTGCTGGGATAACCCTGATAGTAAAAGACAAATTGCTCCAGCACAATTTGGCGAAGCCATAGATGTACCGTTCATCAGCTGAGAATAGCGCAAAGTAAAATTGGGTACTGATGTGATTGCACCACCTGGTGCGCACACATGGACACCTACACCTCCGTCAATAGTTGGACCTCTTGAAGACCAAGTATATGGAGCACCTAGAAAAGAAAAAAATAATTAAGTAAGTGAATGCAGTTTTTTGATGCATTCAAAATGATTGGATTGCGCTAAACAAAGATGCTTCAGTTAGGGAACATGTAGTAGGATATAGAACTTGCTCACCTGGTAGTTTTTGTCTCATAGCATATTCTGCTACCATCATATCAGGTGATACATAGGCACCCACACTAATAATAGGTTCATCATTGATGTCGGAAGGTGTACTGATAGTACCCAAAGCCGGTCCGTTATTTCCAGCAGAAGAAACCCAAATCACTCCATATTTGTTTACAATTTCATTTACTAATTCTCCGATTCGTCTAAGAATGTTATTTTCTCTCAATAAATAAAAACTAATATGTTGTCCAAATACTCACCCTGTATCAACCCAATGGGCTCGTTCTCCATAACTCATATTAATAACATCAACGTTCATAGTTTTTTTAAGTTTAATAATTTTAATCATTGCCCGAATCAAAGCAGTACCGGTTTCCATTGAGCCTAAGCGACCGTCTCCAATTGTGAGTGATATCACTTGAGCTCCAGGAGCGATGCCATTTTGCTCTGGCGAATCGGGAAAATATGCAGAGGCTATTGAGGCAACGTGTGTACCATGACTGGCTAAAATAATATTGTTATGTAATTTCATATGTCTCTTTTTTTAGACAACAAAGATGACTACTTATTTTTTTGTTTAATTTGTTTGTATGTATTGTAGGGATAAAAGCAAATTAAAAAAACTTTGCTGCCAATTTTAATTTTATGCTGGATAGGTACGGGTTGTCCAACGAGGACTAGACAGGCCGGTTTTTTGAGTCTACCTGTACTTTTATAAAAAATCTGAAATGACCATCTTATATAATTTTTCCTGTCGAACCGGAAATGATGATTCAAAACAATTGAAAGTCAAATAAATTTGCTAGGGGTCATTTTGATATTTTTTCAAATTGAATGCCATATTTTTTATGTGATCTAACTCCTCATGTATTTTTAAATCTAAAATGATATATTTTTGATTAAAAAACGTGTATTTTCTGCACGTTTAAGTCTAGAAAATGTTGGTCTATAGGGAGGGCTATTCATAGGTGAAAATATATAAGTGAAAAGGTATTGGTATCAATCTGTCAGGTACAAATGGCCCTGTTTTTTTAAGTTACATATATTGAAAGTATGAATAAACATATAATTACTTAAGAAACCTAGTCAGCAAAAATGTCTTCTCCCATCTTCAAAAATCCCATAATCATACTCCAAAAATAGAAATAATTCATATGCAAGATATATTTGAAGTGAGCTATCTAACGAACCTAATTCTATTTTTTGTAAAATTCCTAATTTCATAGAAAAAAGGAAACTAAGAAGAAAATGGCAGCAAAGTCGAGATCCCCATAACAAAAGAATTATCAACAATATGACGCAGCGCATAAGGCGAGAAATTCAAGAAATCAAAAATATTAACAATTACCTCAGTGAACTCACCGGCGACAAAAGCACTGATTATTCTCTTTGGAAAGCAACTAAAGGCCTTAAAAGACCAGTTACCCAAATTCCACCCATAAGAAAGTCAAATCAGCAATGGGCAAGGAGTAACGAAGAAAAAGTAGAACTTTTTGCAACTCATTTAGAAAAGACATTTCAGGCTAACGAAGCACAGGATGAAAATCTTCCCTGGAATGAACCTTATCAAGAAGAAGGCCACATTAAGCCTACTTCACCAAGAGAAATATTAACAGAGATCAAACAAAATATCAGTCCGAAAAAAGCTCCAGGATATGACCTAATTACTGGTGAAGTAATAAAACAACTCCCCAGGAAAGCTATTGTGAAATTATGCAACCTTTTAAATGCGTCCTTTAGGCTTAAATACGTACCTAAACTTTGGAAAGTTGCAGAAGTTATCATGATACCAAAACCCAGAAAACCACCTCATGATGTGTCATCTTATACGCCAATATCATTATTGCCCGTTTTATCTAAGCTTTATGAAAAGATACTGCTAAAAAGAATAAAACCGATCATAGAAAGACAGGAAATCATTCCAACTCATCAATTTGGATTCCGCGACAAGCACTCTACGATCGACCAAGTACACAGAATCACGAATTTAATAGAAAAATCGCTGGAAGACGGAAAAGTCTGTTCCGCAGTTTTCCTCGATGTAGCGGAAGCATTTGACAAAGTTTGGCATGAAGGCTTAAACCTCTGCTTAAACTATAAACTAAAGCTGTTTCTGCCAAAACAATATTCTGATATTTTGGAATCATATATGTGTGATAGACATTTCAGAGTCAAACAGGAAGATTTTGAGTCAAATTTACGAAAAATAAAAGCAGGTGTACCTCAGGGTAGCGTGCTAGGTCCCTACTTATATTTATTATTTACATGCAACATCTCAAAACCAGAAAATTGTCATTTAGCAACATTCGCCGACGATGCTGGTTTAATTACAGTGGAAAAAAGTATTGAACAATCAACATAAAAACTGCAGAACGATGTCAGTGAAGTTCAAAATTGGACCAAAAAATGGCGATAAAATTGAATGAAACCAAATCAATTCACGTTGATTTTACAAACAAAAACGTAAATCACATACAAATCACAATTAATGACACCCCTATACCATATTCAAATCAGGCTAAATATCTTGGTATGACGCTTGATGCGAAATTGCACTGGAAAGCACATGTTAAGAAAAAAAGGCAAGAGCTTGAATTTAAGGATAGAAAAATGTACTGGTTAATTGGAAGGACGTCCGGTGGTAAAACGCTTTAGTGCAACACGTAGTTTCTTATAAGATGCATTCCTAATGTTGTAGTTAGCCTTTTTGGACCGATTTCAATATAAAAATATGCGGATTATATTAGTTTTCAAGAAAAATCTATAAATTAAAGTGGTTCAATTTAAAGGTGTGTTAGTTTGGGTTAGGTTGCATAGGACTAGTACGCATTACGTGGACGGGTTAGCTTGGGTTTTTTAAAAAAGCGCGCTTTGTTTTTTAAATTGGTATGATTAGGGCTCTCGGGAACAGGGTAGAACGCATAATCCGATTGAGTTCATTTTTGGTATACATATAAAGGCCGCTGAAAGAAATTTTTCCAAGAAAAAAATTGACCTTAGCCGCGACCTTGACCGTGACCTTGACCAGCGAAATTCACATAAATAACAATTTATCGTGCTGAAATTATGTATAGCGCCGAAGAGCATCATGAATAACCCACACACCGAGTTTTAGCCTTCAAGGTCATACATATTCAGAGATACGGCAACCCCGCATTCTCAGTTTGGGCTCTCGGGAATGGGCTAGAAGGCGTAGTCCAATCGAGTTCATTTTTGCTATACATATAAAGGCCGCTGAAAGAAATTTCCCCAAAAAAAAAAATTGACCTTGGCCGTTGGCCGTGAACTTGACTGTGACCTTGACCAGTGAAATTCACGTAAATATCTATTTATCGTGCTGAAATTATGTACAGGGTGGGCCAATTTGGACACTTTTAATAGGAAACATCATGATATTAAATATTAATTACTTATCCAAAACTGGATATAGTGTACTGATTAACGACAACCAAGCGCGACAAGCTAGATAAAATAAAACTGTTCAAGGATACTAGCATGCATTTCAAGAATGGGTTAATTTGGGTTGTTTTACATTATTTTGTAATTCTCGATTAGATAGGTTTATGGGGACTAGCACGCAGTACAAAGACGGGTAAGTTTGAGTTAGTTTGCATATTTTTGATCAGTTTCGATATAGCACAGTTATTGTCGGTTAAAGTGTACCAATTTCAAAAGTTCAGTAGATATTATACGCTTTATCATTACTCAATTATGTTTTTTTCAAAAAATGGTTTGAACACTTAGCTCTTCTCTTCATTCGAATATCTACCACATGATGCTTTTTACGTTTAATAAATTTTTATCTGCTAAAGAGAGCGATTGTGATATTACGCTGATAAGAATAGATATTATATATTGATCTGTGTCAAAGGTCGAGAAGAGGATTCATTCAATATTTATAAAATCCAATTTATAGTTATTTGCGCCAACATTTTCGATCATAAAACAATATTTTGGGATCAAACTAAACGATCTTTAATGAAGAAGCATGATATTTTTTTTGAAGGACCTTTACTGAACTGTCACCTTTTACGGCCTTTATATGTATACCAAAAATGAACTCAATCGGACTACGCCTTCTACCCTGTTCCCGAGAGCCCAAACTGAGAATGCGGAGTTGCCGTATCTCTGAATGTGTAGGCTAAAACTCGGTATATAGGTTACTTGAGATGCTTTTCAACACTATACAAGTTTTCAGCACGTTAAACTGCCATTTACGTTAATTTGATGATCAAGGTCACAGTCAAGGTCAAGTTTTTTTTGGAAAACTTTCTTTTGACATCCTATATAGGTATGTGTACCAGAAATGAACTTGATCAGAAAACGCCTTATAGCCCGTTCCCGAGAGCCCAAAAATTACCTTTAAATTCAATATCAACATACAAGGACTCGCACGCATTACGTGGACGGGTTAGTTTGCATACTTTTGGTTAGTTTGAGTTACAGTTCGTTCAATATCTACTAGTTATAATATCTACTGGTTTAATATCTACTGGTTATGTGTAAGTAAATGTGAATACTCGCTTACTACGGCAAAAAACGTCAATATCCGCACTTAAATTGATACAAAACCAACTGTATAAAGGATATATCAACTAATTTTTATAGAAAATTTGTTAAGTTTTGTTGCACTAAAGCGTTTTACACCAATTTAACCATACATAAAAAGTTACTGCTTTATAGGCAAATACTGAAACCAGTATGGGCATATGGCATTCAACTTTGGGGTTGTACTAAAGATAGTAACATACAAGTTATTCAAAGATTCCAAAATACTAAGAAACATTGTTAATGCACCTTGGTACGTTCGAAAAAGTGATCTACATCGGGAACTAGGAATTGATACTGTAACAGAGACTATAAGAAAGTACGCAAAAAGCCCTGAAGATAGACTACATCGGCATGTGAATGTGGAAAAGATTGAGCTCCTAGACAACACTGAGCTAGTTAGAAGACTGAGAAGGGTGAAGCCGTTTGAGCTAGTGAACTGAAATTGAAAAACACAACAAAATAGTGCTATAAACACATCAAAATTGTGATCTACAGTTTAAGCAAAGTGGGGAAAACTGTTGAGTGAACCTCAAGAATTGTAAACTTTATAGTAAATTAGGTTAAAACAAAATTGCTAATTAGTCTAACTGACTAGATCGTAATGTAATAAACACAATGTGTTTGACAAATAATAAAAAAAAAAAAAACAGATATCTGAACCAACTGTTCATTTCATATACAAAACTTGAAAATTAAAAATATTCCCGATCTAGCAAACAGGGGAAATTGTTTCAGGTAGAATATAATGTAAGTATAGCAAAATAATGGTCCTTTCGAATAATTTGTCTATGTGGCATGTGGTAAAATTTTTGTGCTCATACAAAACGTCTATAATTTCCAGAGATTGAAAAAACTTATATGGCGCGTGTTAATTATTTGACTTGGTGAATATGCTTCGACATAATAAGTTTGATGTTGAATGAAAATTCCAGCTCCTTTTTTATTGTATTCAGTAATTTTTTTTCAGCTTTTTTTTTTGTTTAGTTGGGAAATTTAGTTCCATAAAACCGATTTTCTAATTTTCTACACTATGAATTGTTTTTATAAAAATTTTTGAATAAAGGTTTTAAAACAATATAGCTCTCAAGTACACAAATTTGCTTAATAATTTTTATAAAATTCCTCAGTACAGGACCCATTAGGTACATTACTATCACTGGAGACGGTTCGATTATCATACTTACAACATACTCCGACTAATTCAAGAACATTTCCATTATCATGAATATTAAAACTGATGTTTAAGCTGTCTTGTTTAGTGAGTGGGAGATATTCATGAGTAACACTGTATTCTCCTAATAAAGGGCAGTTGGTTAAATCATTATCTTCAGAAACATTTATGCAACACATCCATTTTGTTCCATCATGAAATACTATGCAATCGTAAATTGGACCAGCATCATAAAATTTCTTGTCCAAGTTGTTTAATAATTCGATTTTTGCTTCACAATCCTCCTTTTCAAATTTTTCATTTTCATTATTGTTGCAATTAGTGCTTTGGTGATTTTCTAAGTTGGCCAATTCTCGATTTAAGTTACTCAGTACTTTTCTCTGGCCTTCTTCCCATTTTTTCTTTTTATATTCTGTTTTGATGCGATCTTTCAATCTATCAGGATATAGATCATATGCATTTTTCACGCCTATTCTATAGGTCCCAGAAGGATTTACCCAATCACGGGGAATCTAAAAAAAAGTTACTTTTATCAGAGATAAGTAAGTATGTATAATGTATTTTATGGTTTCCTAAAAAACATCAATCAATATTGACAGCTGAAAGACCAAAAAAAAAATACTTGCAAAATCTCCCTATTTTTTTTTTTTTTTTTGAAGCTCGACTTCAAGACAAAACATTCATGCTCTCCTGAATTTCAAATGGTTCAAATTGAAGTTATATTGACTAGTTAACTTCACATAGAAAGTGCCTTCAGAATACAAAAATTGCGGCATGATTATTTTTTCAGTAACCCACAAAAGATAAAAATCGTTAATTAAAATTTGAGTGGCATGATTTTGGTAGAAATTTCTTTAAAATATTAATAAGTTGGCAACGTTGGAAAAGAAATCAAAAATCAAATTATGTGCCACCCTTTTGGGGACCTCCTGTATAAGCTAAACTAATTTTGAAATGTAGCCCCTATAACTCTATTAATATCCCTTCTTCTTATTGAATTTCTCATCCACTTTAGGGTGGCTAGATCAATCCTTGGTTAAGTCCTTGTTAGTTTACAAAAACCTTTGAATCTGTCATACAAAAACAATATCATATCGCCAACACAATCTAAGGTTTTTTCTAACTAACAAGGACTTAATGAACGATTGAACTAGCTGCACCCAACGACATAGCCGCAATCGAACACCAGAGTATTAAATGGACATCCTGTACATATATATTTTTGGAAATACAAACCATTAATTTTCTCCCAGTTAAGCCAGTAATATAGCCCTCCTCGGGCTTAACAATGACACTAATGTTTACATCACCACAACCACTGCAGTCAAACCTTTCTACGACTTTTACCTTTCCTTCCGGGGTTGTCTAAAAAATTAAATTTTAGTATAAACCATCGAAACTGATAGAGCGAGAATTTACCTGTAAGCCAGGAGCTCCAGGATCCACCCCCGAATCCAAAATAGCAATAACAATGCCCCTGCCATCGTAATTCGGATATTTGGACAGGAACGATATTGCTCCCGTTTCTTTTTTCGGAAGTAGGCCCAATACCGGAAACTCTGTATCCGTTGGGCCGTCGGTAATCATTTTTATTAATTTGTACCTCGGACTGTAATTCGCACAACAAAAGAAATGTTTCACACACAGTCACAGGGTTTGTTCAATGTTTTGGCGAATGACCGGATAATTTTGACTAGGGTCGACGTCCTTTCACTTCACCAGTTCACCCATAAAGACAGGACCACAAAACAGGACAAAAGAAATAAATGTGGTATTTTTTTGTTGGGTTTGTGAACCTGGTTTGCATTAGTTAGCATCAAGTTCATTGGTTGTAACCCAAAAAACCGTCCCAAGAACGGTTTCGGAACCACTCTGTATACGAATTTCGGATACTACGCACAAATTTTACATCTTGCGCAGAATCTTGACGGTGAACTGTACGGTTCCCTTCTGTGGGTTGGAACTGGAACAAAGCTAAAATAAAAAAATTCGATCAAGAGGTGCTTTCCAGTGACCCATTTGAGTTACTCCTGAGCAGCTCAGGAGTGCTCCACAATTGCTTTGCGCGTTCCAGTGCTTAGAGTGTCGTACACTTGAGCTACTCATTTCTGTTATCCCCTGCCCCCTCGTGCACCAACCCTTTTGTCTGTGTTTCATGCTCCTGAAATCCGATTCGTCTTGGAAAGTCAATTGTCAAATTCGAAACAGATAATTATTTATTATGGCCGACAATTTTTTTTTTAAATTTGCTTTTTTTTTAAAAAAAAATAGGCAATTTTCGGGAGGATAATCAAATATAATCGATTATGCCGGGCTGCGTTCGAGAACCTGGTTGTTGGTGAGGAAATGATTTCAGGGAGTGGGGGGCGGACACATTCGGTGTGCAAAGTCTAGTACTCATAACTGCGAAATTCGCATTTTTTTGACATTGCTTCGACAATTTGACGTTTGATTCACGCATAAAACGTCAATTTGTCGAAGCAATGTCAAAAAAGTGCGAATTTCGCAGTTATGAGTACTATGCTCAAATCTAGCTCTAGGTTTTCGAACAGTGACCGAAAGGTTTGTATAGTTTGTGGTTTGTTTTGTTTATAAAATTGAATTGAATTGACAGAAGTAGAGATGTATGCATCCTCAAAATGTCAGTGTCATATTTTATGTCAGCTTAAATTTCACTCTAATCGGGACTAGAGTATTCGGTGCGCACTCCCGTACGTGATAACCACCATGTACGCAACCTAGGAAAACGCGGAGTGTGGATAAAAATCAGACGGTTTTCGACGTTCGGAAAGGTGGTTGTCACGTAGTGCGCTCACCGGACACTCTAGTCCTGACTGGAGTGAAATTTAAGCTAACATATATGACATTAAATTTTGTTTATTATTAGGCCATTTATGGAAGAACAAGTTTCTTTAGTTAAAGGTCGACACATTATTGTGGAAAATGAACAAGATGCAGAAGACAATTGGCTAATTTTAGACAAACTTGGTTCGTAAGTAAACCAAACCACTCGGTCACCGTTCGAATACCTAGAGCAAGTTCGTTCACCGAATGTGTCGGACCACTCGGACCCCCACTCCTTGAAATAATTTTTACACCAACAACCAGGTTCTCGAACGCAACCCTGGAATAGAAATAATAGATTTCCCCCTATGCAGCCTCACAAGCTCAAGCATCACCAACACAAATTTAAAGTTGTTTTAAATCTAAATTATAAAGTTATTATTTTGCTGATAGACAAATAAGAAGTTCAATCTCGTTAGCCTTATCAATTATTTCAATTTATGTCCCGAATGACTTGATGTCCTTGGATGGTTGCAGTGCCAAAAATTTTGTCAGGTTATTTTACAGTTTGCATATTTGCCAATTAATTGTCAATTATTGACAATTATTATTGCTTTATTTGTTTTGTTAGTAACTAAAAATAGCACAAACATGCTAAAATGTGGGGACCATCAAATTTATTAGAGAAAAAAATTAATGCAGAGACCCATAGTAAGTAACCTCAACATAACAATTGTTTATTTCTATTTAATTATTGTTAGGGCTCGTTGGAGAAGAGAAGTTACACGAATTTGGTGATTTTGTAGAAGAATATTCTCTGCATACCAACTTCCGTCAAAAAAAATTCAATAATAATATTAGTACAATATCAAAACCAATTTTTTTGAATGTAAGTAGAAATTTATTAAAATTAATGTGTAAACCCATTGCAACGAGTTTCAGGAACAAGCTACTGAAGGCGTGTCTATTTTTTACTTGACTCATTCTGATAATACAGTTTTATCTCGGATTTTGAATACTTTAGGAGGAATATGTCAGGAAATCAACTGCCTAAAGGAAGAAGCAGAAGGTCTTTATCCATCATTGCTGTTTTATGGAGAAGGTAAAATAGCTACATATATGCATTCAGTAAATACTTACTATAGACATTCATTTTCAGAAATTGGAAAAAACACAGAAAATTTAGAATCAATAAGCAATATTTTAGATCCATTACAAAAAACCCACTGCTTGGTTCAAAGGGCAAAAACTGTGATTGCTCTGACTTTAATACAACTTAGTGGTATCTTAGAAAAAGGATATTATGTGACGACTAGTTCTGCAAGTTTTTCAGTAGGTGGATTAAAATTTTTAGTTTTTTTGAGAAATATTTGAGGAAATATCTTTAGAGATAAGCGAAATGAATCAGAGACATGCAAATGATGTCTGCCACATCTATAGTCACACCATAAGCACCTGTTTATCAGAATACAGGTAGATCCTTAATTATCCAGTTTCATTGTTTGCTTACTTGATAACTCTCCCATGGATGTTAGCAATTCAAGTGTACTGATGGATAGTTGAATAATTATTGTTGTTCCACATATTATACTGCCTATTCAGCTCTAACTCTAAAATGCTCCATTGAGTTCCAGAATACTAGATCAATTAAAATCCTTGTAGGCCCACATCTGGATTGTTGTCCAGCCATTTGCTGCATTCTCTCTCTAATAATGATAATAACAATAATATTTACTTGGTACTTTTCATTAGTTGGATATATTGCTGATCTATTCTACATGATTCAACTCATTTGAGGCATATACATGTTGGTTACATTTGCAGGACTTTTTGTTTTACAGTGTAGACATGGTAAAGTCTGGTTTTGTTTTTATGATAAATATGTTTGCAATACAACGTGAAATTGTCAATTCTTTCAAATTTTGTACATATAAAAGGCTTGTGTTGCCAGCATAGTTACCAAATTTTTGAACATGGGGTTTTGTCGGTGGTTTTGTCTTTAAAAGAAAATGTACTTTAGATTCTACTATGACCTCCCTTGAACATTGCTTGCTCCCGAAGTTTTCTAGCTTTGTTCGTATTCTTTTGAGAAGAAATATCGACAATATTTGCCAGTAATTTTCCAATATTTCTTCTTTTAGAATTACATTGGCCTCTTTCCATGACTTGGAAACTTTTCCAAGAATCAGCGCACAGTTTTAATTGCGTTTTGATTGACAATTTGATTAGAAACTCCCTTGTGCGGTCCACTGCTAGATTATCAATTAAAAAACGCTGATAACTTTATACTTTACATCCATACATCCTATTTTTTCAAAGTTTTAAATAATTTTCATAAATCTTATCCTAAATAAAACTAACCCAATAAGAAATTTGGTTTTGAGCGATTTCAAGATTGCGGGCGATATTGCCAAATGTCTAATAACTAATAAGGTTTTCCTGAGATTACAATTAATTTCAATTAAACGTATCTATACAGTGGTTTCACATTTGATAAAATACATAAATTATTTTAGGAAGTGCTTCATTTATTTGCAGATTTGCTAATCTGTTTGTTGAAGTTTGACATTTTATTCGATGAACCAGTTTTAAAAAATCACTGGCTTTCATACAGAAGGTCTGTAAGGAATATTTTGCATAAAAGTGTTAAGTTGGGTTTTGATGTGGAAGAAATGCGAACTTTCAGTGATACCTTAGCGATATTGGAGACGTCCCTTATTTCTGGAACCATTTTAAAGGTACTATTGGCACTCGTTAGTTGAAATGATAATAATTAACTAATATTTTTCTAGGATTCTATAGACAATTGTCTAGAACATGATACGATTGTGAATATTAAAAAGACTACTTTGAATATTGAATTCTACAATTTTATATTAAATCGAATTAATGACTTAGAAAAAGATGAAGACCATATTTTATTTATGGACATGTGTATACAACTAAACATAATTTTTGCATTTTATTCCAATATATTTGGAATTACTGATAAAAAAATTATCAAAAGACTCTTGGACTTGAATAAAAAGGTAACTTAAATTATTTTGGTGTAAAATTATAATATTCGCTGCTGTTTTTTTTTTTTTAGATATCCGCATGTACACTAATAGGTAGTATTTTATGGTATCCAGAACAATTTTTATTGAAACATGTACAAGCATTAACTAAATATATAGATGAAAAAAGTATAGAGAATTATAGACTGAGTCACATTAGTGCCAGAGTTCAACATTTGCCCAAAGAAACAAATTCAATTTGTTTACAGGTAACATTTTCTTAATTTTTGGAAATTATTGACCAATTTATTTGAACTTGATATTTTAGGCATGTTACTTTCTAATAGATCTAGAAAACAAAGTGAAAATTAATGCCACAGAATTGAATGTGAGACAATTGAAGGAAGTTAACGCTTTACTACAAGATGGATTGAAATTAATAAAGAAAATTCATTGGTTGATTAAGTGGATCATGAATATACATCTAGATAAAAACTTACCAGTTACAAAAACTGTATTAAGTTGTATATCTCGATCGGTGGAAATAATAAAAAGTATTTTCTCATCATTCCACAGACACATGATTAGGTTAAATTACTTCCTTTTGATGATATCTCAGCATCTGCAACACATGGCCTTATCATTTTTAGATGTGTTGAAGGTATGTTACTTAATATTTTGTTTGTTTTTAATGCCAATATGTAATTTATTCTAGAAAAATCAAATGCAATCGAAGTCTTACAAAGATCAGCAATTGGATATTTTGTCTGCAATAAAAGTTTGTGAAAATGCTCTAAAAGGTAGATTTCTCCGAAGTTTTTTCTCATTGGTTTGTAGAATATGTACCTCGATATGTACTTGGGCTAATGATTCCAAGATTTTTTTTTTGTTGAGCGTAATTTTTCTGTACCGGTGCTTTTGGATTCATAGCATGTTTTATTGGCCAACTGTTAGAATATTAAAATATTTTGGTATTTTTTCAGGTCCAAATACAAATAAACGCTTACTAGTGGCAAACCTGGCTCTATCTGCAAGTGGCTTGGCTGGTTTAAATGAAATAAGAGCTGTTCTAAGTCAATTAGAAATGGTTTCACAGTTCACCAATGTTTTAAAAAAATTCTGTGATTGCTCAGTGCTTTATTGGCATTTTACATATGTGATGCCAGTGTATTTTAGCAAATTAGTAGCCTCAAAAAGTAATTTATCCAAATGTTATGTAAGATCTCACATTATTTTATTTAGCGTTTCAAATAAGTTAACAACTTCTTGTTTTCAGTTAGTGTTATCTGCAATTACAGACTGTGAAAATATAGGAGGTAGAGAAATCTCAACTCAGGCAAGTGAAATATTACAAGAAAAGCTTTGCATACCCTTAAATCAGATTATTGAAACCAACTTAAGGCTGCAAACTCACCTTCATCTGCAACTACCACCGTCAGATCCTTTTCAAAATCACTTTTCGCTCAATTTCACTAAACTATTGCCTGCTCCTTTAAATAATGTATACAAAAGTATTAAAAACAACACAGAACATTATTTGAGTACAACATTTTATAATCTTACGACTGTCGTTTTACATGATTGGAAAACTTATGGCGAAATGAGAAAGTGAGTTTCAATTTTTTTAAAATTTATACCTCTTATTTTTGTCCTAATTCAAAAACTGTTCAAATTTATAGTACACTCACTATACCTATTTGTTTCATTTGAATGGATCTCTTTTTTGATTTGTTTTAAGGTTAGCTACACTGCAATATAATCTCGAAACCGTAGACGATGATTTACCAATGCAAACTTTAGACCAAGGTTTAGATGTATTGGAAATAATGAGAAATATTGATGTATTCGTACAAAAATACCTATACAATCTAAACACTCAAATTTTTATTGAAGAATCGAGCAATAACAAGCACCTAAACTCGATTAATATATCGCACGTAGCAAACTCAATCAGGACTCACGGAATAGGCATCATGAACACGACTGTCAACTATACTTATCAGTTTTTGAAAAACAAATTCCGAGTGTTTTCTCAGTTTTTGTTTGATGAGCAAATCAAATCTAGATTGTTGAAAGATCTCAGGTATTTTGTAGATCATAAAAATGAGTTTAATCAAATGTACCCATATGAAAGGGCTGATAAATTTAATAGAGGGATTCGAAGATTGGGTACTCACGTTGGAGGAGATAGCTATTTGGATCTTTTCAGGAAAGTTGTTACTCACATAGGTAAGATTCTTTAGTCTATATTTTTTAATGGCTTGCTAAAGGTTCTTCCACGAAATTTCCAAGGTGACAAGGTTCACATTTAGATCAGAGCATGTAGATTCAGAATTTGGAGATCATCATAATCAGTGTCCCGCTAATAATGAGAATTGACCTTCCTTGCAGATTCCGGTTTTTGACTGCCTTAAGATTTTGAATTTACATCACTTGAATAATTTTGCCTTATGACCCATAATCCACTCACGACTCATTTTCAATCCATTCCATATCTCTTAATAGCTCCTTATCACTATTAGCATTCAAATATTTTTTGTTATTGGCTATCTAAAAGCTGTCTATTGGGGGATAACTTCCCCTTGATTAATATTTTTACTGCTTGTATCAACTGCAATTAACAAAGGAGGGATGCAATGCAATTGTAAAATTATTCAATTATTGTTTTATTTATTAGGAAACGCAATGGGTTATGTACGATTAATTAAATCAGGAGGAAATAGATGTTTAGCTGAAGGAACATGTTTCATACCAGACTTTACTCAAATAGAGTATCTAAATGAGCTTTTGGAAGGTGAAAACTTGTCCGACACATCGAAAAGTGCCACAACTGTCCTTTTGAAGGATTTGAGAAATTTTACGCAAAATTTTGAAAATACCACAGAATACTTTAAACTATTAGTCAAAGCATTTGGAAGCCATTTCAGAAATTCGAATAATTTACATTTAAGGAATTTCTATATAATTATACCTCCATTGACAATAAATTTTGTGGAACATTATTTGACTTGTAAGGAAAGACTGTTCAAGAAAGATAAAGCAGATAGTGCCTTTACTGATGACGGATTTGCTCTTGGTAAGTGATAAATCAATAGGTATTGATAGAGAAAAATAAAAAATGAACTTCTACTGCTGGAAAAAAAAATTACGGATTGAAATCGCCAATAATTAAATTTATTGTTTCAGGTTTAGCATATATCATAGAACTATTAGATCAAGAGAGTCAGTTGAATTCATTACATTGGTTTGAGTCTGTTCAGCGAAAATTTAATAATGAGAAACAAAAATTACACCAGCAAACTTTAGTGTCTAATTCTGAAGACTCGAAGTTAAAACAAACATTGACTTTAACAGAAAAACGATTGACTTCATTTCAACAAGTAAGTACAGAAGAAATTGAAGGATTATTTTTCATTTGCATATTTCCAGGAGTTTAAACTTTTGGAGTACAGCTACAGCAGTGCCAGAATGTTTTTCCAATCATAAACTGACAATGATCGAAGTATTATAGCCGAATTAAGTAAAATCTATTCTATTATTAAGCGCGTAATTTATATATTATTGCTTTACCTACCTGCAATTGTGTGATACTTTTATAGATATTTTTTCAATCATTCCATATATTAATTATTATAGAACATAATATTGTTATTACTTCAAATTTTACTATAATTAATAGTATTCATAAGTGCAATTAGTTTGTTATTGGCTTTATATCATTTATATTGGTTGAATAAAATTTCGAAAAACCTTGTTTTGTTGCTTCCCCCAGTACCCCTAATCCAGCGTATTTATATCCGATTGTCCCCATGTAGCACTGAAGCCTGAGAAGACTTATCGTGCTTAGCCTTTTTGTTTTATTCCAACCACTCTAGTATTTTGGTGCCAAGGTTGTACAGGTCTTTTACTGGGTGGTATTTCATTATTGTTTCCGAGACTAGGTATGTTTGGTTGCTCCAAAATCCTGTGTCTGCTGCGATCCAGTGCCTCGCAGTTTACCAGAATGTGTCTAACTTTCTCAGATTCCTTATTGCAGAGTCTGCATTTAAGGTGTTCATCCTACAGGTTTATCCTGATCCTGTTCAGGTGGACCTTTTACGGTGTGTGGCTGTCATAAGGCCTGTTTATAGTCCTTATAGTCGGCTCCTACTCATTTGTAGCAGTTCTGTGGCCCTTTTTGTGCATGGTTTGTCGATGAACTCCCTACCATGATTCTTCTTGAAAGTTGTCGAGGAGTGTCGATGTTCTTCTGGAACCCAGTCACGGGTCTCGTTATTCTCTGCGGCGAACTGGAGTATAGCATAGACCTCTGCCTGAAAGACAGGCATGCTGTAGCTTGTTGGAAACAATATTCCAACAGTAAATTTAAAATTCAAATTTTAATTTTCCCGGTATGCACCGGAAGTGTGCGCGTATGTGTCAAACAGTGTCAAAAATCACTTGTCAAAGTTTTTGGTAAAGTGGCTTCCGGCATCTACGCGAGTGAACCAACGGGAACAGTCAGTGTCGAATCGAACCTCACTGAGCGCACCAGATAATTCTGGCCAGGTCCTATATGACCATTTTTACAGACTCTATAAGTCTAAAAACGTAAACAAAAACGAGAAATTGCAAATTGTAAATAGCGTAAATAGTCGTGTGTGTAAATAAATGTAAATATATTAATAATACAGTCCACTCTCATTATTTTAAAGAAATCAACATAGCTAGCGGAGTATACCCCTCTCTGTCACGGTACCGGCCACAGTAATCTGTGCCGCAGTCTTCGACCCGTCCGTGTACCAGGTCTGGACCGGCTTTTTGGTCTCCGGTATGCCCTGTTCCATGTTCTGCTTGGGATTGGGAAGCTGCTGACGGTCTGTTGGGGCCAGTGTCGGACTGGAGACTGGAGGTCATTTGCCCACCGGGCAAATAGTGAAGTGGCCCACCCAACCCAAACCCCATTCAATAATAGTTATTTATGTATCAAGGGTACTAAGTACCTAGATGATTATTCCCTGAGGGCGACAGTCTTACAAAGCCGAGGGCCTCTGGCCCGAGTGTTCGTAAGTCGCCCGAGGGTATATATATCTATTAGTACCCGTGGTGCATACAAACTTTTATGTCATACCAGTTGGTTGTGAATAATAAATACCTGGGAAAAAAGTGTCACTTCGCAAATTGTCATCAGTTTGCAAACATCATCATTTTTTGACAAAAATAATATGTTTATAAGCGTAAATTTTGTTAATAAAGAATAAGTTATATGAAAACTGTTTTTTGCGTCTTTAAGCCCGCGCAGGCCATAATGTGTACTTTATGCCCGCACGGGCATAAAGTAATGAATTATGTAGATGGTATCTAAGGTATAAAAACACAAATAATGTATTGGTATGACATAAAAACAATTTTGATAATTATTTGTTGAATCTGGTACCTAGCCTAGAAGGCATAAAAAAAATAGGTACCACAAAGGGCTGGAACTGTTGGGTACTTAAGGTTTACTCCACTTACCTGGTTATATTTTGTTGTTATTTACCGATGCATTTTGTAGTTTGTAGTTGTATATGTATAAATTACCATAAAAATTAAGAGTAGGTAGGTAACATAAAAAAAAACAACAGGATATATATAGTATATTACAATCCGAGACGGGAAATGCTTCATTGCTGATCGAGAGGTTATATAGTTTACGAGACGTGTAGCGTCGAGATAAATTGAACCTCGAGACAGCAATGAAGTTTCCCGTCGAGGTTTGTATACTATTTTATTTTTAACCATAATTTCTTGAAAAAAAAAAAAATAAATTCGTGACAACCAAATAAATGAGGTCGGGAAATGAGGAGGGAAAAAATTTCCCATCCTCATTTTCCGTCCTGGGACAGGTAATGGACCAGGAAAATGAAAAGACAGAAAGGCGACATTTTCAAATTTTTGAAAAGTCAGTAATGACAACATTTCATATATGGTTAAAAATAATAGTAGGTATATTACAATCCGAGACGGGAAATGCTTCATCGCTGATCGAGAGACAGCAATGAAGTTTCTCGTCGAAGTTTGTATACTATTTTATTTTTAACCATAATTTCTTGAAAAAAAAAAGGTCGGGAAATGAGGACGGAAAATGAGGACGGGAAATATTTCCCTGCTCCATTTTCCGTCCGTGGACGGGAAATGAGGACGGAAAAAATTTCCCGTTTTCATTTTCCTTCCTGAGACAGGTAATGGACCAGGAAAATGAAAAGACAGAAATGTGACATTTTCAAATTTTTGAAAAGTCAGTAATGACAACATTTCATATATGGTTAAAAATAAATATTATTTCAGAATTGGGGCTGGGCTAGAGGCTAAATTTACTTCGGATTCGGACTGTTCTACAGCATATTCTTTTCTCCACGAAGTCGAAAATGGTTCGGGCAATCCGGGCATTGAGTCATCCTGAAACCTTTTTTGATTTTTTGGTATTGAAGGCAGGGCAGATTGTGATGCCAGATGCCGGGTTCAGACCTAGCAGAAAAAGCAACAATAAGATTAAAGGGCGGGTATTATAAAACTACTTTGAGAGTTAACTTACACTTTACAGTTAACTTCTGGAATTACTCATGTAATTCAAAAAGTTAACTTTAAGTTAACTGTCAAAGCAGTTTTATAATACCCGCCCTAAGACATTTATGTCTCGCGACAAAGTCGCGACAAATCCGATACATTTCTGCAACAGTTTTGTCTTTTTTTTTGTATTGTCTCCAAATTCCGAGACTTGAAAGTTCCGTCGTGAGTCGGTAAAGATCAAAGAGACTCTGTTTTTTCTGTGTATTTTACGACAAGTTGTCGGCGCAGTGTGGACGAGTGTGCTGACAAAAGTAGGAGACTAGTGTCAATCTCAAAGTAATTGCTAATCTTTCTGTTACACTTAAAGCATTTCTGAAGTTAGTATGTCTTTTGGCAACTGCAGTACTAACAAGGCATATGAGATTCTCGAAATCTTCGGCAGACATTCTTAGAAAATTCTTAAAGCTTGAGCGAATCTCACCACTTATTCCAATATCATTTTCACGTAACTGAACTAGGTAACACTTTATTTATGGAATAACTTTTTCGCTTTTTTAAGCTTGGTATCACCCAAAAACGTTTCCATTTCATTTGTCCAACATTTTTTGAATTTTCTCTCTGGAAACGCCACATGGTTAAGCAACTGAATCGCATCAACCAACAACTAAATTTTGTTGCACATTTTTGTCTTTGTCGTCTCGGTTGACAGATTTGTATTTGTTTTTGAATTTCAAAAAAAATGAAGTCAGTTGTTGGCTGGATGCTGCAGCTTCTAATAATTGTCGTTTTCTCGCGATCGCTCTTTATTCTGTACCCGTTTTATATAAAGGGTGTATAAAAATAAAAAGATAGTAATAGCGAGGGATTCACTGATATGCGGCGGGCGATTTCTACGCGACTTCGGCTTGAACTTTTCCAGATCAGAAGGGAGTTGATATTGATATGATAGTTGATTTTTTATAAGGACGGTGGATTACGCGAAATAACGTATGAATTGTTGATTAATGGCGTGGGAAGTGAGATATTTTAATTTATTTTATAAATATTCGAATGGCCCACCTGTCGAAGACGTCACCTGGCCCACCGGGATTTTGCCCGGTTGCCCGGTGGGCCAGTACGACACTGGTTGGGGCAGTGTCGCCTTGGCATGTGGCCCGTCTTCATATTGAAAATATCTCTCCCAAGTTCTGCCATTGCCATGTCTCCGGTCTCTTTGTTGTAGGCGGTTGCCGGTTGCAGTTTTGTGTCCCATCTCTTGCTAATTCTCAATATGAATATATAGGATTTAAATGGATATCTATCATACAAAATTAAAAACAACATATTTAATGACTGTTATTAGATATATCAAATACGTTGTTTTCAATTTTCTAGGATGGATGTTCTCCTAAATACTATATATTCATATGTAAAAATTAGCAAGAGGTTGGGCACAAAATTGCGGCGCTTCCATATAAATGGGCGCTTTCTGTTATTCAGCGGTGCGGATCCATCGGTAATCAGCCTATCTTTGTCTAACTCATAGAAAATAGGAATATCTATCTCATATTGCTGGCAGTGGCGTAGCGTGAGCTTTCGTCGCCTGGGGCCGGCCGAAAATTCGCTGCCCCCTCTATTTTATATATTAGTCAAGAAAAGTAGTAAAAGTCAAATAAAGCATCTTTATTAGGGAATTTTCATGTATATTTTTTTTCTAGATACCTCTACTTCTATTGATCAGATATTTTGCCCGTATTACATACCTATGTGTATTTTTCCGTGTATTCATTCATGTAGTTCAGAGTGACAACCGAAAAATTTCAAACGCAACATAAATCAACATTATGAAAAACAAAATAAAGTTGGCATCCTGCACTACATGAATAAATACACGGAAAAATACACAGATATAATACGGGCAATGCAAAATAAGACAGTAATTGTCGCCACTGTGGCAATAGCACAGCTTTAATAATAGAGTCACTGTTAGAGGTCGAGAACTATCGATACTAACTATCGATATTTTTAATTATCGCTCACTATCGATGGTTTTTAGAACACAATCGCAATCGATAGTACAACGATTGGTGAGAAATATGGTTTGGGAGAGCTGAATTCAGCTGAGGCCTTTCTGGAAACGTTGATCCGATTCAGGAAGGACCCGATTAACCGGATCACCAGGGCCGAGTTCAGAAATAACGCACAGGGTGCGAGTGCGATTTTATGGGTGTGCCTGAATTGAC